TAGAGAAAAGAGCAGATAAGAAAATTGACTGATAAGCTGCGAGTCAAGGAGCTTCTTTGTTTGAAACTGGCCTATATTACAGAACAGCTCCTTTTCAGTGATAAACAACTGCTCCTTGCCTTGTTCCTTTTATCTATCTTCAATGATTACAGATATTCGAGTAGTACAACTTAATTCAGTAATTCATCACCATTCCCTGGAATTGCATATGATCATGGACTGCTGCTAGGTCCATTATAAATTTTATAGCCAATGTAAATAAAGCTGAAAATAGATGAAATGTTTATGTATTGATATCTGGCGCTAGAATTTTCAATCAAGCTTGTATCATAATTGTGTAAGCTGTTGAGTTAGTAAACCTAAAGACTGTTAATAGTTATTTTGCTCAATTTTGTGACAATGGCTGGTTGTTATGTTGCTTCATGTTTTGTCCCTTTTGTTGTATATATCTGGTGCAGTAACATGCATAATGTTCTATCAAAAAGTAGAACTGTAATGGAATTAGAGAAAAAAGGTAGATCTGAAAATTCACTGATAAGCGAGTTGGCGAGTCAGGAGTTTCATTGTCTCAAGCTGGCCTTAATTACAAAACACGCTCCATTCGCAATTTTAACTTGAGACTGTTTTCTGATATATTTGTAAGCATGTTATAATTGCTTCTGAAATATGGGCTTTCAGATTCCTGTGAACAAGAAAAATAAAAATGAGAGCTATCAGGAGGAGCTAGAAGAACGCATCATTTCACTAGTTGCTTCATTGTTTGGTAAGCAGGCAAGTCTGTTCCAATGTCCGTTATACACTGCTGTTCTGGATTGTATGTATATGAACCTGCAGCAGAGGATCGACAAATATACTTACATTTCTACAAATCAGCTTATGAACCACCAGTTATCTACAGGGTTTTCTGTTAACTACTCCCTCCGTCCCAAAATAAGTGTCTCAAGCTTAGTACAACTTTGTACTAACTCTAGTACAAAGTTGAGACACTTATTTTGGGACGGAGGGAGTATTTCCCTACTAGAAGTTCGAGTATGCCGTGAACATGATGGCTTATCTTCTCCAGTCACTTTTATCTGATTAGAAAAATTGCTTTAATTACATTACTGATTTAACTCTAGCATGTGCAAATTTCAAATCTACATCTCTGACAGTACTTCTGAATATTATGGTTGCACTTGAAGATTCAATGTTTTGCCATGCTGTTTACTGTCATTTCAGTTTTCACAACACCATGCCAAAGCCTGTAGTTCATGGTTTCCCAGGCCACCGAATCGAAATATATTACAGAGAAAACGTAGTTTACATAATATTTACAAGGTGTCAAAGTTCCACAGGAAACAGGGCATAACCTAAACAGATTGAAAACTGAAGAGACAGAAAAACCAGGCCTCAGGCCACAACCAGAAACAGCAAACTAAAAGTGAATTTGGCATAGGAAAATTAACAATATGAACAAATGCTTTGTTTCTTATTTAATGAACTAATCAAACTTGTTGAAGTATCAGTCAGTTGTTGAGGAACCCTAGTAGCCTGCCACCATTCCACCTTTGTCCCCATATAATCCATATCATTATCAGTGTGTGATTTGGCTAGATAAAGTACATCGAAAACTTGGTTAGATGTGCCCTAAGTTCCAGTGGTGCTGAATAAACTGGCACTGAAAGTTACTTGTTTGAGCACACCTACTTCCTCACACCCACAAATAAGCATAGATCCTGATAAATTTGCACCAGAGGAATCCTTGTTTGCCATGTAAATAGGTTTGTTGGTGCTGCAGTAACAAGGACAAATAGTTCAGCATTTTAATTCATGCAATCATCATCTTTTTATTTTTGTACGAGGACTTTACAGCTCATGTTTGATTGTTACCCTCTTCTGTTAGGTGGTATCACGAAAGGTTCACGAAGGATCAGGTTACTAGGCAAATTTGTTGAGAATGAATGCGAAAAGATAGACCGTCTGATGGAGCTATACATACGGTAAATCTAGTTTCAAGAGAGCCAAGGGAACTGCTGTCATTTCCTTGTTATTAATTGCTAGTATGATCTCTTTGCGCCATGCAGGTATTCAGACAGAGTGAAAGCTGAGACCGAAAGGTTTGAAAGCCTCGATTTAGATGATTTAGAGGTGCCCTTTCTGTCTTGTGACCTCCATGTCAAATCCAAACAGATTATTTATTGCTAAATTGCATGCTCTTATCTCTTAGATGGACGATGATGAGCGGTACAACCGGAAACTTGAAGCTGGGCTTTACACGCTTCAGGTATTACCGCAGTGGCATGGCAGTGCTGCATCTGATGATATTTTCCAGCCTATATTCTGTTGATTCTTGTTCACTCCACCAAGCTTCTGAAACAGTTGTTTGTATGTTTCAGCTAGTGGCGCTTATTCTTGGGCATATCTGGCACTCCGGGTAAGTAAGACTTCATTCAGTCTTTCTTCCCCCCTTTACTGCTCTGTTGTACAGAGAGCCATGAATGAGATTAAATGAACTGCGGTGTTCATCTTTTGCTCCCTGTCATTAATTTTCAGGAACTCGCAGATGAGGACAAGAATAGAGTTGCTCCTGAGACAGAACAAGCTGACAAAGGATGATGTCAAGGAGATACTTCAGGCATGTCATTCCTTTCTCGAATAAATCATATGTTGTCGAGTAGTTTCTGATGGGAACTAGGGCGAATGGTCATTCGCCGGTTTTCTGCCTTGAACAATAGGGAGGCTGTCTGCATTCTTCAAGTAGGCAATGTTTTTGACAGTTTATTAATCAGCTTGTTGATGCCTGATTCGGATGTGATGCAGGAGTACCACGACAACATCGGGGACCTGGATGGGCCGGAAGAGAAGGAGAAGGCGCAAGGGCGGACCAAGGAAATCATAGCCGCGTTGTCGTGATGCATCGTCTTCCCGTAGCATTCCACAAGATGAATCCATGACCGGATTGAAATGTGCATCTCATTTGCGCTTTGTTTGTAAACTAGCCAGCAGTTATCCGCAAAAGCCGTCTTCTTCTGAGAATACATACGTGTAGGCTGTGTTGTTCAACTTGTGGAGGAGCAACAAACTGGCATTGCACCTGACCTGTGCTGTGTAGCTTCAGACAATTACTTACTTGCATCAGTTTTGACAGAATGGTCTTGTGATTTTTGTGTCATTGTCACCACTAGATTTAGTGCCGCTTCCAAGTTTATCTCATCTTTGGCAGTTCTAGAGAACAAGATACAATGCCCATGTATTTACGGTTTTTTTTCGTAACAAATTCTCTTAAAAAAGATTATTTGCCTCGTTACTGTCATTTAAAAAAAATGCTGTCAAAAACAGTTTCTGTGTCTCGATTAAGTGAGGGAAGAAACTCTTAAAAATATCTTCTTTTAGTGAACTATAGTATTATAGTAGTATCACCTTGGAAAGAAAGGCAAAGCTTTGCTTGGCTCACTGCAGGAAGAGGATGGTGTATTATCCTCTCGGCGCCAGCGCTGCTGTGCGTTGCCACTTCTCGCCCCTCCTCCCTCGCAGCGCTCCGCCGGCGACGACGGCCACCCCGCCCCGTCGTTGTACCCTACACCCCTGCTCCAGCTCCATCCTCTTAGGAGCATGAAGGGTTGGTCAAACGAGAGGCTCCGGCGTGGTGGGGGTAGTAGCCATGCGCCTGCAGCGTGGCCGACATGCGCGGCGAGTCGGGGACGAAGGGGCGAAGAGCCGGTGCTGCCCGCGGCCACTGCAATAGCGACGAGCCCATGCTGGCTAGGGTTTAACCCTAGCATCGGCAGGGTTTGCCTCGTGGCCTCGTGGACGAGCTGGCGGTCTTCACGACGGCCTCCTCTTGCTCCGCGGCAGCGACGAGGGTGAACACGGCCGCGACATTGATCTTGGCTTCCTGCGTGTGCCGGCGGCCCTTCCTCTTGGCCGATTGGACGGCGCACTGCTCGTCCATCAGCGGAGGCTCCTTCTTGGTCGTGTCGCCGCCTTGCGGGGTGAGGGGGGGTGGGGTGGCACGGGGCTTGCC